GGGCGTGGGAAGGGCCGGGCAGAGGCGGAGGGAGGCTGGGGCCGGGCCCCGCGGAGCTGCAGCGGGCACCGGGGCTGCGGGACAGCTCCGCGTGGGAACGCTCCGCGTGGGGTGGCCGGAGAGCACCGCACCTCCGCGATCCCGGCACCCCCGGCGAGGAACTGCGTCAGGGATCTGGAAAAGGCTGGAAACCCGCAAAAAAACCGCTCTGCTTCCTCCTGCTATAAATAACCCCAGAACTAGGGATGGCGCTTAGAAATAAATCAGCGCTGGCCACGCCAGTGCCAGCCCCATGAACAAGAGACGCGTCTGTCCGAGAGCAGGACTATCACTGTCCCCGAGGGGACAGCGCCGTTTCACCGCCAGGTGTCTGGAGGGGTTCCTGCTCTCGGAGACGGGCTCCCATCCCCGCCTGGATGCGGTGGTTGCAGCCAATGCCAAACCACCTGGGCCGTATGTCAGGTGGTGAAGTTCAGTCTCTGCCAGCTTTTCCTTTTCAGATTTATTACCGTTGTATAGACTCAGATTCAGTCTATAAATTATTGGGAATTGTTACAAAAATGAAGACGCCTCCTCTCGATCGCACCTCTACCCGAGAAGAGATGGAAGCCTTCTGAAAAAAACAGCTGCAGTGAGGCAAGGGAGACGGGAGAAGCCCTTCAACTCAAACCCTACCAAATTCAGCTCAACCAAACCCAGCCAAACGCAGTCCAAACAACTCCAATTCAAACAAACTCAGTCCAACCAAATCCAATCCAGCTCAACCTAACTCAAATCCACTCAGCCAAACCAAACCAAACCAAACCAAACCCAAACCAAAACCAAACCAGACCAAACCAAACCAAACCAAACCAAACCAAACCAAACCAAACCAAACCAAACCCAAACCAAACGCAACGCAACCAAACCAAACCAAACCAAACCAAACCAGACCAAACCGCAACGAATGCAACCAGACCAAGCCAAGCCAAACGCAAACAATGCAATCCCAGCCAAACCAAGCCCAAACCAAGACCGTCAACCTCCCCCGGCGCCCCCTTCGCCGAACGCAGGAGACCGGACTTGCTGCAGGAAAACAACTTTTAACAATGGAACCATCCAAAAAGTGCCCCGCGGGTACGCGGCTGCTGCTGCGTGGCTCTGCCCCAGGGGATGACCACGCGTGATGCACGCTGGAGCGTGTGCAGGAGCACGGAGCACACCGCGGGGGTTGTGTCCGTCGGGGAACTGTTCCGGGGGTGTCCTGCCCCAAAACACCATCACCCCAAATGAAAAGCATGACCCTTACTCGCGAGGTGGAGATCCGCGTTTATGCCCCTGCGCAAGGCAAAGCTCTCCCCTGGCCGGAAGGGAAAATGAAGCAGAACCCCAAAACGGCGAAAGGAGCCCCAGAACCCCCCGACCTCCTCCGGACCCAGAGCCCGGTCCCCCCCGGGCGGGGTGAAGAGGGAAGCAGAGAGAGGGAAGAAACCCAGGCCGAAGTGCGTGTTAAATCGCTCAGGAGGGGAAGGTGGAAAATTACACTGGCTCCCGGCCGGCCTGTCCTCTTCTGCGCAGCCAGGACAGCAATTTTCCTAAGAAGTATAGCAAAACGAAATCAGCCTCTTTTGGACTCGTAGCCTTCGTCCCTCCGTGTGTCAGCAAAGCCTCCGCCTTCCGCGGGAGCGCAGGGCCCCTCCGCGCCTCGGATGCTCCCCCGGGCCTCCCACTGCCTCCCTGCCCCATCCCGCTGCCCTCGGTCCGGCCGACCCTGCCCCACCAGCCCTGCTCTCCCCGCCACTGAAACACGACAGGAAACACACGAGGA